ATTCTTTTTTGTTTCTTTTCACTGGTCTTTTACCCTCTGATAGGTGGCGCCACCGTCCCAGCTGGGGGCACGTAAACGCCATCCCGTTAACCAGAAGGCTCTGTGTGTAACGAACGTTTGCGGCACAGTAACGCTATTTCGTTAACCCGCGCTATCGCGGCAATGGTAAACTAAAGTAGATGTATGTTGAAAGAAATAAAGGAGGAGTTGAAATGACAAACAGCACGATTACTGCTTCGCTTCATGGAACCGCCACATTTCCTTACATCAGTTTTATGAAGGGTTACGCAAGATCGTATCAAAAAGACGTAGCTGCGAGCCTAACTTCGTTAAACATTAACCCTGTCCCGTCGATGATTATGGCGGTGCTTCATGTGACAGCTCTAAATTATTGGGCCTGGGCGGCATTTCTAAGTGAGACTGTTATGCGCCGTCACCAACGTCACGGAGAGAGCACCATGTGATTTTGCTTTGGCGTCCAACATGGCTAGGGTAACATGGCGTGCCACGTCGCGATGACAGCGCCACATGAAGAAACTAAAGACTACTTGGGTAGAGTGACCTAGCTTGGGTGCAGTTCCGGCAGAATAATGTGTTTAGTAGCAGGATGGCTGGCACAGCAGAATAGGATTGGCACAGCCTTGCGCACCTCAATTAGGGTGCCTTCATGTGCGCCCTTCCGTAAAAACGCTTTCGTTTTTTAGAGTGGTGTCAGCCTTTGACCCATCACTTGCTGTTGCCTGCTAAAACACAATATTGCCAGTCCCAGTTTCCATGGCAACAAGCGCCATGTTGGTTCTCAGGGTTCTCGCAGCTAGTCGTTCCTGCTCCACATGCTGCATGTTGGTGCAGGTGTGCAAGCTGCGGTATGCCTTGCGTTTGACTAAACCGCACCTAGCTTCCGCTACGACACCATATTCGCGCTAAGTGCACCTACAAAAACTTTGAAGTGAAAATGCCAGGGTGCTGTGTGCCGCAATGAAAAATATGTAGACTGTTTCGCTTCCCGACTTGCTCTAGCCCACGGAAACGCTGGATTACACAAGTAAAGCCAGATTGCTTGGAGCCGACTACTTCTCCCCGTGTTTGTGAGGTGAGTACCTATTGTATTGCGAGTGGATTGAGTATATCGCCGCATATTTTGTGAAACGATTGACTTAGTCATACGAGAAAAAGCAGTTCGCACACAGTAAATCCAAAACTTGCACAGCAAAAAAAAGGAGGGGGGGGGGGGGGCTTTGTTCAGCTATGCTGGGCTATGCGAGCGAAAGCTGGTTAACTTGGATAGGCTTGTTTATCTTCATAGTCGAAGCGCAGTTCACCTATCAAATGATATGGCTGGTGGAATGTGTACTGCGTACATTCACTACCTGCGTTTCATCAGTTTTCAAAGCCGTCGCCACATTCGTTGCCAGAAACGCCAGGCCCATGAACCACCAACAGACGCTTGCGTTTGCATCTTCCTTTGCTAGCAGCTGTTCACGTTCCTGCAATTTCACCTCTGTCGCTGAGGAAGTGCATTTGGAAAGGTAGACAGACGAGCTGGCGAATGCGTTCCTTGTAGACTCTTGCAGTCTTGCACAGCTCTAACATGACAACTAAATTTTCTGCGGCTTGCCATGGGGTATTCGTTCTTCGCTTCAAGGACACATGGAAATACACACCAAAACTTGCTCAACAATACCATAATGGCTTTCCCTTTGATAATATAGAATGTGACTGATTTACTGCTCCAGTCCGTCCATCTGTCTGTCCTGAACGCACCACGTAGTATGTGCACTAAGTACTAAGTAAGCCGGTTGTGGGCCTATAACTCAAATATGCTCTATGGGAGATTGGTATTGCGCCGCGATTTGTGTCGCTTTTTTTGTTTCAAAACAAGTCACAATGATGATTCGATATCGCGAACTCAGTTTCTATTTAGTGCTTGTGGAGAAGAAGTGTACAGACTGCGTATATGTGTTCGGTGTGATGTATGGCCTTATTGCTTTATTGTAGGGACACTGCGAGGACACAAGCTTCCAGCAAAGGAGGCAGGACAGTTTGAAAACGTTAAGGCCAGATGCTGTTCGGATGCTATTTGCAATAAAATCTGACCTGAAAAAACTTGGTTTGTCTCTTGTTGCTCCCCTTTGCTCTTCTTCTAGTGTAATTTCAGACTGGGGGGTGGAGGGTTGGTGTAATATGATTGAGTGTCCTACTATTTTCTGGTAATGCTAACTGCTTGTAAGGTTTTTAAATAGTCCATTGTACGGATTTGTTCACAGGAAGTAAACTTGCTGCAGGAAATTATATTACGGACAAAAGCAACATTTAGGGTATGAGAAACAGCTTAGTGGAATTATGTAGTTGAACGAGAACATAGCGAGCTATGCGGTTGTTTGATCCACCTTCCCCATCATTATGGGTCATCATCATAATCAGCCTGATTACGTCCACTGCAGGGCGAAAACCTCTCTCATGATCTGCCAGTCAACTCGGTCCTGTGCTTGTTGCTGCCATTTTGTACCCGCAAACTTCCTAATCTCATCTACCCACCTAATTTTTTGTCTCCCCCTAACCTGTTTTCCTTCTCTGAGAATCCAGTTAGTTACCCTTAGCGACCAGCGGTTATTCTGCCTACGCGCTACATGCCCAGCTTATGTCAATTTCTTTTTCTTGATTTCAACTATGATATCCTTGACCCCTGTGTGTTCCCTGATCCACTCTTCTCTCTTCTTGTCTCTTAAAGTTACACCTACCATTTTCCTTTCCATCACTCGCTGCGTCGTCCTCAATTTAAGCTATACCCTTTTAGTAAGCCTCCAGGTTTCTGCTCCATATGTAAGTATTGGCAAGATGCAGCTGTTATATACCTTCGTTTTGAGGGATAGTGGCAATCTGCTAGTCATGATTTGAGAGTGCTTGCCGAATGTATTCCACCCCATTCTTATTCTAGTTACTTCAGTGTCGTGGTTCGGCTCTGCAATTACCTGTCCTAAGTAAACGTAGTCTTTTACAACTTCAAGTGCACTATTATCTTGAAGCACTGTTTTCTTTCAAGGTTGTTGTACATTACTTTCGTTTTCTGCAGATCGATTTTAAGACCTACCTTTCTGCTCTCCTTCTCTAATTCAGTAATCATGAGTTGCAGTCCCCCGAGTTACTCAGCAATGCAATGTCATCTACGCAGCGCAGGTTACTAAGGTACTCTCCATTAACTCTTATCCCTAACCCTTTCCATTCTAGGCCTCTGAAAACCTCCTGTTAGCACACGACAAGCATTCTGGAGATTGTATCCCCTTGTGTCTACACCCTTCTTGATTGGTATTCTGTTGCTTTCTTTATGGAGCATTATGATGGCAGTTGATCCTCTGTAGATTTCTTCCAGGATGTTTATATATGCTTTGTCGACGCTTTCATTCAGCAGTGTTTGCATGACTGCCGATACTTCTACTGAACCAAATGCCTTCTCGTAATCTATGAAAGCTATGTATAGTGGTTGGCTGTATTCTGAGCATTTCTCTATGACCTGATTTATAGTATGAATGTGGTCTATTGTTGAGTAGCCTGTTCGAAATCCTGTCATTATGGGTACCGTCAGCACGGTCTCGAGCCTTGCACAAGGCCTATGAGGTGTCTACAGTGATAAGGTGAACTTGCTTCAAAAATGCTGCGCATGCATTGAATTCTGTTCAGTGACATCGAGGTTCTCCCTTGCCCAAATAAAGCCTCTCTAAATATCCTCACTAGGCCAATGCAGTGGGTGTACCAGCTGCAAGAAACAAACTGTTTAAATGGTATTTTATGCAAATTGGAGTCAAAATGTTTTTTCTGTTCTACAAAATGGCAGCTAACTTCAGAGAACGACCTTCCAGCTTTCAGAACTTGCTAAATAATAAAACCCACCCCATTTTTGTTGAAATTACGCTACCTGCAATGTAAACAAGCCACCACTGAGAACCAACATAGTGGCCCGTCAAGTATGGCGACCGTTATACTGTTGTAAGTAACCATGATCGAACTTTTCACCACTCTAAAAAACGGAGGCGGCGCGCACGTGAAGGCCCCTTACCTCAACCCCTGCTTTTACATGGTCCTGTGTTCTATATGGGGAAAGTCAGTCTTAGAGGTGGGTTACGTCAGCTATGAATGAGGGCCAACTCAGCTTTCGAATTTGACCGATTCCGGGTGCGAGACCAAAGTTATAGAGGTGGGCAAAGAAAAATATGGGATTAGTTGTGAATGTCGGTCAATTCAAATCCAACGCGACGCCATCATTTGGTGATGTGAGCGTTTTGCCTTTCAGCTTCATGACGAACTCGACCTCTCCTCCAGAAAAGGAAGCAAAGTTTGCAGTGCATGAGCAATGCGATTCCGCATTGAAAGGCACCGACATGAACCCAGTGTCTGTGGAGCCCAGTGGACGGTGTGGCTTATTCACCTGCATCGTAGCTAAAGTTTTAACTCCCACCACCAGCAAAGCTGTGAATATCCCAAGACCACTGGCGTAGCCAGAGGGTATGCCAGTGGTCTTAAAATATTGAAAATTACCCAGGGTGCCCCCTGGGTAACTTTCAATATTGCATGTGTATATAAACACACACAACTACATCCAAAAGTTTATGGAGCGTGGGCTCCACTGCTAATGGCGCAGTGCTGCTCTGTTAGTGCACGGCACTTCTAACCTGGCAGGCAGCTGTGTAGGTCGCAGAGAACTACCACAGGCTAGAACATCTATTTGGGAGGCCATGCTTTCGAGGAAAGCGGGCTCATAACTTTCTCAGCCACTTCGTGCTCCGCAAACTTTTTTGGGGGGCGGGGGTACACATACAAACGCATAAACATGCAAAAGTATGGTTGAACCCCCTCTAAAGAAAAATAAATGTTCCTGGCAACACCTCCGCCTCAAGACGATTTGGTTTGGCTGGCGCGCAGTGCCCCATAGTGTTTACATGAGCGATCGTGCAAAGTGAATATGTTGTTGCCTTTACCAAATATCGTACTATGTTGTAACGCAGCGTTCCTAGGTGCCCTGGTGATGGCAGTGCTGCAGACACGCCAGTTGCTGCACGTCTACCTCTGGCTGAGTGCGCAGGGTGCCGTGCTGTGGTCGTACATGTGCAACCGTGAGCTGGTGCGCTACGCCGAGGAGCTTTCACATGACGGCAGCCTGCTGCTTGAGCTGCTGCGGCTCGAGCCTGGGGCGCTGCTACGCACAGGCGCCAACTACGTGCTGCAGCTGCTGCTGGCTTTGCTGCTATCGGCCGGACGGGGTCCCCAGGCCACAGCAGCCCTCGCCCTGGCGCTTCTGGCGCCCACCGTCGCCAGCGTGTGCCTAGTGCCAGTGCCTGGGACTAGCCCAGTGGCATCAGCTCTCGGCGCGCAGCTGCTGCTCATGACGCCTGCGCTTCGCCACTCGGGCCCGGCATTGGCCGCCGGCCGCCGGGCTGTAACCCGCACGCGTGCCTTGCTCGGCCAGCTGGGCGGCCAAGCCCTGCTCGAGGCCCACTGGGCGCGCTTACGGGCGCCCACTGTGCTACGTCTGTTCTGGCTGCTGCGGATGGCAGTTCACGCAGCGCTGCTGCAGCCGCAGCTGCCTGCTGTGCAGGCACTGGCAGAGCTTATAGCACAAGGCTGCGATACGAGCGTGGCCCTCCTTGGCATGGCCAGCCTGGTGGCCGCGCTGTCGCGGCAGGTGGCTGGCGCGGCACGCCGCCTTCTTCTGCTCGAGGGCAGCCCTGAACGCAGCCTGGCTACCGTGGCAGGCCTCCTGTTCCTAGTGCTCGCTCTACAGACGGGCCTGACGAGCCTCGACCCGCCACACCGGCTCGCCCGGCTGGCGCGAAACCTCTGCCTTTTGGCCACCGCTGTGCTCCACTTTGTGCAGGGAATGCTGGGCCCGTTGCTGGTGTCTTTGGGAGCGTCTCGCAGCGGATCGCACCAGCGGCACGCACGCGCGCTGGGCCTCAGCCTGGCATTGGCTGCATGCCCATGCATGCTACTCACCTACCTGTGGACACACCAGCCAGTGAGCACGTGGCTGCTCGCCGTCAGTGCCTTCAGCGCTGAGCTCGTCGTCAAAGTGGTCATCTCACTGCTCATTTATCTACTCTTCCTAGTGGATGCGCGCCGAGAGACCATGTGGGAGCCGTTGGATGACTATGTTTACTATCTGCGAGCAACAGGCAGTGTCCTCGAGTTCCTGTTTGGAGTCTTCCTCCTCTTCAACGGTGCCTGGATATTTGCATTCGAATCACGTGGCACCATAAGAGCTTTCATGATGTGCTTTCATGCTTACTTCAATATATATCAGCAAGCAAAGGCTGGCTGGAAAGCTTGTGCACGGCGGAGAGCTGCTCTTTATAAACTGCATTCCCTTCAAGAGGCTACAAGCCAGCAGTTGCGTGAACTAGACGATGTGTGTACTATATGTTTTCAAGAACTGCAGACTGCCAGAGTGACTCGATGTCGGCATTTTTTTCACAGTGCATGTCTTCGGAAATGGCTCTATGTGCGAGACATGTGTCCGCTTTGTCACAGCACACTCTACCATCAGTAAGAACTGAAAAAACTGTATTTTTCAAAATGTATTTATTGCATCAGAACGCCTAAACGACAAACTTTATTCAAACTGTATCACATCACATCTTTTAAATGACATAACTCAACTCAAAGCATTGGGCTTGTGCTCCAGTGCAACGCTAGTCAGATCCCTTCTCTTGACGGCCTTTACAGTGCGTCAGCTTGCCTTCACAAACGCTCAAACAACAAACTAAATTCAAATCTTTTGAATGACATAACTTAAACCGCTGAAATGGCATGAATAACTAAATTTGAATTGTATCACATGAAATCTTTTAAAGACGTAACTCAAACAGCTCAAATGGCATGAATAACTAAATTTGAAATGTATCACATGAAATATTTTAAATGACATAACTCAAACCGCTCAAAATGGCATGAATAATTCGGAGCATCGGGCTTGTGCTCCAGTGCGTTATATCCATTGCACCGCTAGTCAGATGCCTTCTTTGGACGGCTTTTGCTGTGCGATGGCTTGCCTTCACATTCAGCAGGTGGTCTTGGACGTAGCCCAATATATCCACTGCAATTTTCCGATCCACAGGCACATGCGATTCTTTCATTGCCACGACACTCCAAGTTGTAGTTGAAGGTGAGCTCAGTGCCTGCAAGGAAGGGATTGACAATCAAGAAAATATATGCACCACGATAGCCACAACCTAACTGCACACGATATGGACATATATTGGCACACATGCAAACACCATGGCAGGCTAAACCTCAAAAGCCTTGACCTTACAAAAAACTCTGATGCCCACCTGATCCTGATCAAGTCGGGAGAACCAACTCACTCAGCCCAACCTATGAGTCTTAATGAGTCCTGCTGGGCAAAATTTTCTAGGGCTTGTTCCAAGTGAGTTTTACAGAGCATGATATTCCCGCGTTTGACTGTGTAGGACTAATATTTTGGCGAATTTTGAGCACAAGTGAGCCCTGTTGGGAAGGATTTCGATGAATCTGAGTACCAGTCAGCCTCAGTAGACTATGATTTCGATCTAAGTGAGCCCTACACAACATACACACACATTTATATCTGCAGTCAAGTAGACACACGTACAGAGTAGTTTTATTGATGTTTCGGCTGCGGGTCCAACCTTCATCAGAATTCATCGGTATAATTCTGATGAAGGCTGAACACGCGGTTGAAATGTCAATAAAATTGCTTCGTGCGTGCATCTACTTTACTGCGGATAATTTTACCCGGACCCAGTCTCAGTTGCTTAGTGTGTGTGTGTGTGTGTGTGTGTGTGTGTGTGTGTGTGTGTGTGTGTGTGTGTGTGTGTGTGTGTGTGTGTGTGTATACACACACACATACATGCACACACACACATACATGCACACACGCATGGGGAATGGATGAGGAAATTACTGAATTGATTGATGTGGGGTTTAACGTCCCAAAACCACCATATGATTATGAGAGACGCCGTAGTGGAGGGCTTCAGAAATTTCGACCACCTGGGGTTCTTTAACGTGCACCCAAATCTGAGTACACGGGCCTACAACATCTCCGCCTCCATCGGAAATGCAGCCGCCACAGCCGGGATTGGATCCCACGACCTGCGGGTCAGCAGCCGAGTACCTTAGCCACTAGACCACCGCGGCGGGGCTGGGAGGGGAAATTACTGAAGACGCTCAAAAACCACTCATAGAACGTAGAAAGCCCACCTATCAGTCATTGGCTGATTTGAACATGGCCCGCTTGGTCGTTACAGAGGTTGCCACAGGAGGCCGCGAATCGTCCACGCATGCGATCACATTGAAGTAGCCGCGCATGGGGGGGGGGGGGGGGGGGAGAAGTGTTTAAGGTCGCGAGACGCGGCAGATGTATTTTGTTTGCCCCCCTGCCATCCTTCCCTGCTTTCGTCGGGACGAGAGAATAGAAATTCAATGGCAGCATGCGACAAATCTGAAATTCAACTCGAACTGGACCGATTCTTAAAATTTTTGCACCATTGAGTTCGTGAGGCAATAAGCTCTTCCAGTGAATTAATTACATGGTTACATGAAAAAGTGTTTCAAGGCCCCTTTAAACAAAAGTTTGCAAACTATTTTTTAAGTTCCCACACTTTCACGGATAAAATTACATGACTGAAGAAGAATCAAAGCAAAGACCGATTTAACGCAATTTCCTTAAGATTAGCCAATAAACAAATAAGGGGGACATCTTTCAGCTCATACTGACAGCAGCTGATGCTAAAATATTTCCATCCCCTTTATCCTGTACTACCCGTTTTTTTGGCCTTAGCCATGTTTATACATTAGTGACCTGTTCATTAGTTTCGTTTCTCCACCTAAAACTTCTGTCTCTTCAATTCCATGACCAGAGTAGTAAAACCGCTTCGACCAGCTTCTACATGCACATTTTGTTCACATTTTATAATCAATCCCAAATGCACACTTCAATTACACAGGCAAGACTCAACATTGTTTGCATGATAGTTTAAATTTCCCACAGCAATAAAATATAATTTTCTTATGTATTGGTAAGCTGATAAAAAAGAACGCCACCCATGCTTCATCGAACCCCACTGTACCCTGTTTTTTATGAAAGGAAACTGCCACGTGAACAGTAATGAGTGTACGATCACAACTCGATTAAGCACAACCCAAAAAGAAAAAGAGTGAGAGGAAGAAAATAACATTGAGCGTTATGGACTCATACTAGTGAAAATAGTGCCTAAATGATTTTTAGAGCAAAAACTAGATGCCATGGCTCCCAAGGTCTACGACTTGTCTATGCCAGCCATGTCGTCACAATACCATGACCTTAAGATGCATTATTTGCTCTGGATAGGCGTTGCAACAGCACTCGCTCAGAGCCTCATCGCAGTGGTACAACAAGACTCATCTTTTCTGACAAGATGGTGTCAAGAGCAACATATGCTGTCGAAAGTGAACAAGAACCTGTTTGTTTGCTAGCAGGTGCACACTTTGAGTGGCATGAAAAAGCACTTCGAGAGGTAGAGAGATGAGCTAATGATTTGAGCATAGTGATGAAACTAGGGCCTTATTCTGATTATCAAACGTGTCTTTACTCCACAAGCATTCGCTGTAGCCTCGTGTACAACTGCAGCGCCATAACCAAATTTCTACATCTGCGTTGTTTCAACATCAAATTTACAATAAAGCCTAACATAAATTAAGAACTGCGTACAGAGGCGTGCACTTCCACCATGAACACCCCACCGTGCGGCCAGCGCTCCTTGGAGCTCCTCTCGTGCACAGTTGAGAAACTAGCGCGCAAGCGCAATGACAGCTGTAGGTGGGGCCTCACCAAGTAATCTGCTAAAATGCGTGAGTTCCACCAAGCACGATTGCCTTGCAGTGAAGCTAACTTACCTCTCGCTATGCTCACGCAAATTAAGAATAAGGCACAATTTTCGATACACGCAGCAACAACGCCTCGTGCTATCCTGGTTTTGCTCCTCATGCCAGGCATACCAAATCCATGCAAGAAACGGGCATAATGTCACGAGGTGATAGGAGCCACTTTGCTGCCATGTGGCTCTGCATAAAAGATTATCCGTAATAGAGCTCAATATGTCTTTTAGACGTTATGTTTAGAAATCGTTTGCTTTATTCGGGACCAGGATTAAGTGATGAAGACACACGTGCCATAATTTTCTGGCTGACTAGCCAAAGTAAGTGTTCCAACCACAGGATGAGAAATTCGGGAAATGGAAATGGTCTGGGTACCAACACTCTCACTGATGACATCACCAATCATTATATATTAGAACTGAGACTTTACCTGCCCTGCGAAAGCAGTTGACTAAGGCGCAGGAATGCGTCTGGAGTAAATAGCAGATGTGATCTTTTTCCAACGTGTATGTGCGGAGCAAACTATACCTGAAGGAGATTAAGCCGCAATGTAATACCCCTGTCACACGGCCACCACTAAACTCCGTTGAACACCGTCAACGTAAATCTCCCCTAGGTGGTTCGACCGAGAAGGAGTTGTGGCAGTGTCACACGGCAATGAAAAGTTTGTAACAGTTGGCGCGAGGGGGCTCAGCTGGCGCTGTTTGATTTTCGGAAAAGTATTCTAATTTCATCTCTATTGATTTTTTTGTGAATCCTCGTTCTAGGGTTTTTACAAAAAAACCCTAGAACGCTAAGAAAGGTAAGAAAAGTAAGAAAGGTAAGAGGCTAACAAACCATAAAAATATTTTCAAAGAAAAACGAATTGGCTAAATGTAGCGATGCTGCTAGTGACGCTGGCCACATTGTGCTTTTAGTTGTTTTGTTGCCTGTGTTCATGTTTGTGTACGAAAGTTCTTGTGCTTCCTTGCCTCGTGAGCGCACATTTTGTGTTCTTCCGCCATGAGTGACACAGCGACGACCACAACCACACGCATGGACGAAATATTTTTCAATGGCGCCGGCCGGCCTGACTCGCGAGGCACGGAGTGTAGAGCATCGGTGTTGAGAGTAAGTGAACTCTGGCGGGCGTAAATATATGTAAACAAACACGCGTTGTGAATGAGTACTGCAACGAAAGAACGTTTAAGATTGCCAAAATGTATTATTCTTTCACTGCAGCCACTTAGTGCTCGAAATTTTTCTCTGACCTCTAGACTGCTGGGGACGAGAGTACCTCGTTTCGCTGCGAAGGGAGATCGTTGAACGTCCTTTGCGAAACGCTCCGTTTACCTTCGTTTGGGTAAGGGTGGCCGTGTGACACGGACCGCATCTTCGTTGTCGTAAGGACGAGGGAGTTAAACGGTCTTTGCGGGTGCCCGTGTGACAGGGGTGGTGCCAGGCAGTGACAGCATATGACCATATACCGGGGGAGTCATGGTGCCAACGGCGGTGAATGTTATGTGCGAACCCTCTCACGAGCTCTGGGAGGCCATGTGGACGAGCTTCAACCGAGTCGTCCAGACAAGGGTGGCGGAGTGGGCCACACAGGTCGCAGTCAACCTTGGTCTGATGGTCATCTAACACTGAATAGTTCGCAGGGGTGCCTTCTGATGAAATAATGTTTTTCCATCCATCCAATTTAGACAGCACCAATAATTAGTGCATTGAAGCAGAGCCATCAACAAGCGAAGTCCTCCTGAACAATGCTACTGCTGATGATGAAAGCATTCAATGTGAATATAACCATGAATGCATTGGTAATGATAATCAACGAGGATAAAGATGCCGACGAACACGCTGAAGTAGAACTGTGGGCAAGCAAATGGGCCTTGAACGGTGACAATTAGAGGCTGGACTATAGGCAAATGCCTATTCTGTTCCTTGCTTTCCTATCGTGCCACTTTGATATATTAACAACAATTAAAGGTAAAGAAGGGCTTTTACAGTGTTTTTATAGTGCCTACAAATGCCTATTTTTGATGTTTCTGCCTAAATTTTTGTAAGTCCCGATAAATGCCTATTTTCAAAATCTATGCTTATATGAATACTATTTAAACTCAAATTTTTCTTTTGAGTACAACTGGAGATCCGTATTCATGTTAGCGGGCAAAATTGGGCTTTCGGAACTCTATGGGATGCATCCTATACTCCACCTCGGAAGTTCCTTGCAGCGCTGTCAAGGCTAGAAGGCCCTTATTGCCAATAGGAAGGCCGATTAGCCTCTACACATGTATTCATC